AACTTCCTTTATTCCACTGTCCATCAAGCTGCTGAACAGTCAGAAACAATTGTGATTATGCTGTGTTAGGAGTTGTTGGGAGGTGCAATGTTACAGTGTAGTTTGTGCAATTGAGAAGGTTAAATAGGGAAAGTGCAATATGTGTAAATAGGTATGGATACAATAGGGATATGTGCAATTTGACGGACACTATGCATAGGTGCAATAGGGAAGGTGCAATATTTGATTTATGTATAAATACAATAGGGAAAAGTGCAATATTTGATTTATGTATGTGCAATAGGGATATGTGCAATAGGGAAAGTTCTGTACCTGTATGTTTCTTGTTTGTTTCTTTGCCATGTGATATGTGATCTCTGTTCTGTATCTATGACTGATTGTCCAAAATGTTTTATGTTTATTATCTCGATGCCCAAGACAAATTTCTCCTAAGGGAGACAATAAAGCTAATCTAAAAGTATGACGTTTGGAAAAAGGCGTAGTTCCCCTCTAAATTATACAATTACAATTGTATTATACAATCAAGTAATATTTGTATTTCCGTAGTCCTTAACGTTCCCTCATTTTTTATTGTGTCATAAACATAAAATAAATATGTTTTACTTTATATCTAATGATTAAAAATACTCAAATACTTGAAAGAAGATGATTTCTAAACTGGGTTCTGTAACTAAGCAGGGTTCACAGACTGGGTAAGGCACAACTAATGGGTCTCATTCTGCTGCCAATTTAGAACTCTTGCTTTAATTATGTTTATTTCATTTTGCTTTTAATACATTGATCTTAGTAATGTGTCAAATGTATGACTTTAACATGGAGGACTGATAACAATTTGTACTTATAGTCATTTAAGGCTCTACAATGGTTTAGGTACAGACCGGCGTGTGGGCTTTGCCAAGGCCAGATCAGCTACAACAGGTAGTCACTGTGGGGTACCCCCAGGGTCGGCACTATCATCCGCAAGCACAACATCAGTTTCAATTTTTATGCAGATGACTCGCAGAATAATTTTAGCTGCGACCAAGCAAACCACACCCTTAACGCTGTTAATCTGCTCAAATGTCTCCAGGATTTCCACATGGGGCCCCCTCCACAGGCTCCTAGTTCAAACACACCACACAATTGGGCTTACCAGGTTATTCCAGACCCAACCGATCCAACTCACCCAGCCATATTCTGGCTGTGACCAGTGTGTGGGAAGATGGTGCCTGTGTCGGCTCGCCTCTCCCTCAGCTCTCTGCCTTTAGCTATCCTGCTTTTGTTTTATGTTTGTCAGAATGTCTCTGCTCTGCTCGTCTACGATCGCCAAGCTCTCCTCCACCTCAGACCCTCATTGGAGTTTATACTTTTTAAACCTACATCTGGCAACCATAAATCGCTCCCCCCTTCTACTGTCGGATATTCCCACCTACCTGCGCCGGTTGCCCTGTATCCTGCCTCGCCGAAAGCGCTTTAGACGATGGGGAAAGTGTGGTGGTGCGCTGGTCCATCAAAAAGCATACCTGACGGCTTCTTCTGGGACTTATCCACGCATCAGATGTCATGGCCCTCCCGCTGCACGCCATGTGAGGGATCGATGGATTCGCCCTGTCTTTCCGGAGCTGCGGCCTCTGCTGGGCTCGCTGACAGCTCCTCCTGCCCGACTGACTGCTCCCGTCCCGCACAGCGTTCAACACGCACATCTTCGTCAGCTGAGACGCACTACACCTTCGGGCAGCCCGGAGCGAAAACTTTGCATGGCTTTGCTAAATGCTAGGTCGATAGCAAACAAAACGTTCCTGCTAAATGACTTCTTCACTTCTCGTGAACTGGATTTTTTAGACCTGGGTCCACGCTGGCGATTATACACCGTTCTCTGAACTTCTTCCTCCTGACTGTACATTCTTCAGCTCCCCCCGTACCACCGACCATGGTGGGGGCATAGCATCAGTGTTTAGAGCTAGCCTCCAATGCCGATTGCTTCACCCTGTAACTAGCTACGCTAGCTTTCAGTTGCAGCTTTTTGAACTGAACCCGGCCTCGCCTATACTCTGCTCAGTCGTGTATCGTCCGCCAAAGTGCAATAAGGATTTCATAAATGACTTTTCTGACTTTCTGTCCGGGATCATGGTGAAATATGATCGTGTTTTGAATTCCAGAGACTTCAATGACCATGTGTGTTGCGAGTCCGCACCTCCTTGATTCTTTTGGTCTCGTTCAGTCCGTGGCTGGCCCAACACACGAAAAAGGACACACTTTGGATTTAGTAGTATCGTTTGGACTGTCTGTCTCTGTGGATGAAATCTGTGCAGCAACGCGTATCTCAGACCATTTACCGGTTCTGTTTACAACCTCGATCCCTTCCGCAGGAGTCGAATCACGTGCCCCTTTGATTAACCCCTTGACTGCCTCACAGTTCTCTGATGTTTTTATTGCTTCTCCGATCTGTAAAATAGAGGTGAACTGTGCTTTTAGTGCTGATGAGCTTATTTCCATGTTTGACTCGACATGTACCCTAATACTGGATTCTGTTGCTCCTTTTACGCTTAGACGCACCAAAGTTCTCTCAGAGCCGTGGCTCAATGACTGTACTCATGCTCTCAGACGCACCTGCAGGCGTGCAGAGAGAAAATGGAAAAAGGATAAATTCCATGTCTCCTTAGAAATCCTTTGTGCTTGCCTTTCCGACTACCAGACGGCAGTCAAAGCAACCAAAACGGAGCACATTTCTCTGTTAATCTCCAAAAACAGCCATAAACCTCAGGTTCTTTTTAATGTCCTCAACTCGATCATTAATCCCTGTGATGTTTCTTCTATTGTGCCATCGACTACTCTCTGTGATAAGTTTCTTACATTTGTTATTGAAAAAGTATCTGCCACACTAGTGCTACCCCAGATCCTGCTCCTTTTCTGTGCCCTGCTGTCCTCGACCACTTTGAGCCTGTATCCCTCTCTTCTCTCTCGGATGTAGTCAAGCACCTGCGGCCGACAAACTGCACCTCAGACAGCATTCCCTCTCGCCTTCTCAGAGATGTTTTCAAATCAGTTGGAGCAAGTGTTTTATTGCTTGAAAACACCTCTCTTAGCCCAGGATGTGTCCTAGCTGCCTTCAAACATCCACGTTACTTTAATACTTCAAATAATTCAAATAATCCTTCAGCAGTGACCACCAACTGGCGGCCCGCGGGCCACATCCGGCCCGCCAGTCTTTCCAATCGGCCCGCACGACGGGGGTGACTGTGGCGTTGGCGGAGTGGTTAGTGCGTTCCACCCTCCCACCATTTTCTACAACGTCTCGTGAGTAAGGGCGTAGCCGGATCAACAGAGAGGCGCAGCTGCAGGTCAGTAGATGCCTGCGTACTGCGAAACCTTCCCTGCCTGAAGAAGAAGTGATCCTTCTTCGTTTGAAGAGTCCCGCCTTTGTGCGCGTGGCACACAGCAAGCAGCCCTGCTGCGACAGATCCCTACCAGAGAGGCAGAAGCGTGCGGGACAGTACCAGAAGCAGGAATTGGGTTGTAACGGAAATACATGCAACGGCCGTTACGGTAATCAAATGGACAGAATATCAAAATCAAGTAGGCTAACTGTATTCAGCTGGCGCTTACATTTGAAAAACGAGTAATCGATACAGTGACTTTCAATAAAATCTGAAGTGAATACAATTTTGGAATACTATTGGAAGTATTGGTGGAAAGGTTCCTCACAAAAATGTAATATTCATACCGGCAGAACGGTGCAACACTGCACAGCGCTGAGCATGTCGTGAGCAGAGAGAGATGCAGCGGTCTGTGAGGCCCCGCCCCCGCAACGCAGAATTGAGAGAAGAGAGGATCTCTTTTACATATATTGAAAGTAGAACGAAGATGGTTAGATAAAATGTGTAAGAACACGTTGATGTAGCAGTTATTTATTGTCCGAAAATTATGACAATTCAATAACGGATCAAATCAAAGTGAATGGCCCTTCTGCTGCGAATGGGGCAAGTGACTGGAACAAGTTTAAAAGTTATTACACGTTTCAGATAATAGAATACTAATGATAATTCATTCTATGGGGCGCCTTTCAAAGCACCCAAGGACACCTTACAATCATAACATATTCCAAGAAAAGGTTTAAGACAGTACAAAGAATAGCAGCCGGTGACGTTTTTTATGTGGGTCAGAGAAGAGCGTCCAAATGACACCAGATGTTGTGTTGAGTTTCTTGAATAAGCCATTAAAACAGTAAAATAAGTGCTCCTGTCACGTCAAAACATACCCATTCGTTATGGAAAAAGAAAGTATGCAAAAGATCCAAAAGTAATCTGAGATACGTTACTTTAAGACACGTAACTGAACTGTAATTCTGATTACTTCAGAGCATGTATGTAAGTATTTAGTAACTGATAACATTTACAAAATGTAATCCCTCCCGTCAAACAACTGTCAAAATCTGGCCTAATAGAAATCGCTGCCCGCAAAAAGGCTATGGAACATTTGGCCCTTGGACAAATGTAGTGTGTGATCACTAGCAATAGGGGTTTTAATCCTCACTGCAAACCACACTTAGCCTCTGCCTTCTAGTCAGAAGTGGAGCATGACACCTGACTATTCCCTGTGTTTTTGTTTTATATGCGTGGGGGGAGATGTATTTTCTTTGTGGTTTTGTCTGTATGTTATGTGTCGTATATATTGTTTGTTTATATTATATCTATTAGTGTTTGTTTGTCATCTGTTGGCTCAACCCAAAAATTGCTTGTAAGTGCTTTAATAAATAAAACTGGATTATTTGGATGACTACTGCACCCACCAGATGGGCTCAGTGCAGCTCCGCCCTCTTCACTCACTAGGGTAAATCCGATAAAAGACAATAACACAATCGAACAATCCATCACGCCTCCAGCCACGTTCTCCTACCTCCGCGGGAAACTCCTTCTTCCTCAATCTACATTAGTCGCTTGTCACACCAAATACTTTTTCCCAGGGAATAGTTCCCGAAGTTCCTGGGATTTTGCTTCACATTTCCAAAAAGATCTGGAACTAAACTTTTTTCGGGAACCTTGTTTCCACCCCTTATCAGTCCCTGCAGAGAGGTGGGTACTTCCTGGGGAGGACAAGGTCCAATTTTTGAATTGGCGGGCGAAGTGCAAACCACCCCGTAAAGTTGTTGTGAAGGCCCCCATTTTATTTGCTCTCATTACCTTATTAGCATTAGCATAGCCCTGCGCGCCAACAAGAGAGAGACAACCTTGTGCTACACAAATAAAACATGGGAGTGGTGGATGATGAGGGAGGTGTGCGGCGCTTCTGGCGATTTACTAGTCCCAACTGCCGGACATTACGGCCGGGGACATCGGGTGCAAGCATACGCCAGGAAAGTTGTTTGCGGCCCTGCCAGAAACCCAAAGCAGAAAAGAAGAAGGACGTCAAGGCTTTCTTGCCTAATCCCTCCCTCAGGGCATCACCTAGATAGTTTCGGAACTAAGATTTCTGGGAACTGGTTCAGGGAACTATTTCTGGAAAGGACTGTGGGGAAAAGCGCCCTATTGTTTACGGTTGAGCAGCGCAGGGAGGAACCAAGTCAGACAGACGAGTTGTTTAACCAGCAAAAAATTTATTCAAGGCAACAGGATCAACAAAAACCAGACAGGACTCAATCGTACCACTCTAAGCACAAAAAAGGAACCCACAAAAACCCTAGGAAACAAGAACTTAAAACGCACACATGGCCAATCAAGACCACGGGAGGAGGGAAAAACATGCAGCAGGGTGAACAAATCAGGTAACACACACAGGACAATAGGCCGCAGGACCAGAGGAAGTAAGCCGGCTGGGGTCCGAAGGCACAGGATGGCAGACAGAAGAGTATGGCAGGACCAACGGGAAAGGACACAGATGGCAGGACAGCGCCCACGCACAGGACTGGGTGGGAGGACCTGCGCAGCCAGAGTTCGGCGGGGTCTCCAACGGCCGGTACTGGGGGCAGACGGCATGAGGGGTGTATACATGATTGGGACCAGAGGACACCGGCTGCTGGGGGCCGGAACCAGGGCCTGAACCATTGTCGGGCGGGAATGGCGGATTGGACTATGAGGGCAGTGTTCTCTCTGGTAAATACGTTCTCTCAAATAGTGTATGCGCCTCACTGCA